GCAGATTTAAAAGTGATCATAGTGGGCGATGTTGGTCAGGTCGGCAAGTAGATCCACTGGTTTAACCCCTGCAACAACTTAAACATGCTTTCTTTTTTGCCATCTCGATTGCGTGCAAAAGGTCACAATTAGCACCATTTTTGTTTCGATATAAAAAACATTGAACATACTCAGATCAACCTTTTCTTCTTTCAGCCCCTAAAGAAAAATCTCTTCTCAAAATGAAGAAAGTTTTATGTTTTGCTAGTGGATACAATCCTGGAAACAGCTGGTAAAAGTTACATTTTTGTTATTCGACACTCCAAAGAGTTAAAAAAGTGAAACAGCGATGAACCGATTCTACACTGTTCTGTATTTGTGTAATATTATGTATTTATGCATGTATTTATGTATGTACGTATTTACATCTATTTATGTATGTATATGTGTGTGTGTTTGCCATTGTAAACCAAAGAGCCCTTCTGGAACAAATAAAAGTGTAATTCATAATTATTATTATATTTAAACTAAAGCGCCTACTTTACATGCCGCAAGCTATTATTTAACCTCTGTGACCTCGTGTTTAAGGATGGCGACAACACATCCTTAAATGTAAGCTCTTAACGAACACGAGAACGACGGAAATGCCGACTGGAAGCACGCAAAAGGGTTGCAGGTATGATGGGGCTTACCGTTATCATGATCTTATTATTATTATTATGGCAATAATTTTGGAGTTGGACATGTTACACATAGTAAAGAGCAATAGAGATAACCTACCTGTATAATCCATACTTTTTTTATTTTTTTTTATTTTTTTACAGATTAAAGATTATAACCGTGACAACGATGCTTGCTGATAACAAATTCAGGCCACAGTTGAGAAAAAGGAAGTACGTGTTCCAATTCGTTGTACACTGAACACAACGAGATCCCTTGGGATGTAAAACATTTACCAAAACAAAGAGCATTTTTGTGGTATAATGAACAAAAAAGCAATAATTACAGAGGAATAATTATTTTAAAAAGAAGATGAAATGTTAGAAAATATCCTCCTTACATTTTTTTTCGTATACTAGGCTACTTCCACATACATTTTGTATCTGTTCTCTTCTTAAATCATTTATTTACTATGGTGCTGTTCTTTTTCTTAAACTCGTCCTCGATTGTCGTCCTCCTCCTCATTCCCTTCTTCCTACTGCTCTTCCTTCTATCCACCCTTGCTCATTCTCCTCCTCCTCCTGCCTCTCCTCCTTCTCCTCCTCCTCCTCCTCCTCCTCCTCCTCCTCCTCCTCCGGTTAATGAATTGGGGGGACGTCACTAATCTCAAGAGCCTTTACTCCTCCTCCTCCCCCTCGTCCCCCTAAATGATTTCTTCATTTTCATAATTGTCTCTTTCCTATCATTTGACGCCAGCTTCCTCCGCCATTGTCTTTGACAGGACCCTCACACCCCCCCTAAAAAAAAATGTAGATCTAAAAAAAAAATTAATAAAAAAAAAACTAATTAAAAAATAAATCTTAAAAAACCTCACAAAAACCAACAAAAAGTCATACAAACAAACAACAAACCCCATCCTTTTCAGGCTCTCTCCAAGACCAAAACTGTGACAGCGTTGTAAAAATTATTAATTCAACATGTAGAGTCTCTGAACACACTAAACAACCCAGACACAAACATTGAGCTGGATAAACTTTTCTTTCTTTATTAATTTATTCAAGGATAAACAAAAGCATCGGACGAAAAATTACATGGAGGACGTGCACTTTTTACCAATTTGTCGTTCGTCTGTTTATTATTATTACCTCCAACCCCTTTTCGAACAAATTCGCGTCAGAAAGAAAGAATGGAGACAGCAGGTGAGAAAAGACTGAGAGAGCCCTACCTTCCAGCCTAGTTCAGCCCCAAACATCCCCTGCCCCCACTGCAACAGACATTTCCGAGCGAAGATCGACCATATCAGCCATCTCCGGACACACCCCACCCCTCCAGTGATGTGAAGTCAATGTCATCTGCGCCAGGGAAGGATGAATATCATCATCATCATTATTACCCCCCCCCCCCCCCCCCTCCCCACCCCTGCAGATTTAAAAGTGATCATAGTGGGCGATGTTGGTCAGGTCGGCAAGTAGATCCACTGGTTTAACCCCTGCAACAACTTAAACATGCTTTCTTTTTTGTCATCTCGATTGCGTGCAAAAGGTCACAATTAGCACCATTTTTGTTTCGATATAAAAAACATTGAACATACTCAGATCAACCTTTTCTTCTTTCAGCCCCTAAAGAAAAATCTCTTCTCAAAATGAAGAAAGTTTTATGTTTTGCTAGTGGATACAATCCTGGAAACAGCTGGTAAAAGTTACATTTTTGTTATTCGACACTCCAAAGAGTTAAAAAAGTGAAACAGCGATGAACCGATTCTACACTGTTCTGTATTTGTGTAATATTATGTATTTATGCATGTATTTATGTATGTACGTATTTACATCTATTTATGTATGTATATGTGTGTGTGTTTGCCATTGTAAACCAAAGAGCCCTTCTGGAACAAATAAAAGTGTAATTCATAATTATTATTATATTTAAACTAAAGCGCCTACTTTACATGCCGCAAGCTATTATTTAACCTCTGTGACCTCGTGTTTAAGGATGGCGACAACACATCCTTAAATGTAAGCTCTTAACGAACACGAGAACGACGGAAATGCCGACTGGAAGCACGCAAAAGGGTTGCAGGTATGATGGGGCTTACCGTTATCATGATCTTATTATTATTATTATGGCAATAATTTTGGAGTTGGACATGTTACACATAGTAAAGAGCAAAAGAGATAACCTACCTGTATAATCCATACTTTTTTTTTTTTTTTTTTTTTTTTTTTTTTACAGATTAAAGAAAACCGTGACAACGATGCTTGCTGATAACAAATTCAGGCCACAGTTGAGAAAAAGGAAGTACGTGTTCCAATTCGTTGTACACTGAACACAACGAGATCCCTTGGGAAATATTGTACTTTTAGAGGGCAAAAGAAATTTTTAATTTTTTGACCTTGGAAAAAGTGTATATTGATATGTGTGTGTGTGTGTGTGTGAGTGTGCGTGTGTGTGTGTGTGTGTGTGTGTGTG